AAAATCTTCCTCAGGTTGGTCTTTTCTAAGGGTGTGCAGGCTAAACAGCTCATGACACACCCCGATCGAGATCAGGGCATGCTGGCCGTCACGTGGAAGTGACGTAACCATGTGCACAGTGCGGAAGCTAATAAAATAATAATATAAATAGTACGAATAAATAAAAACTAGCTTTACACAAAGTAATAACAAACAAGTGCAAGCGTAAGTGTGAACACTAAGTTCAGAGCAAGAACGCCTAATGCAGTCCAGGAGAAAACGACACAACAAAAACACACCCGAAGGTGGTCCTACACTAGTGGCGGTCTGTCAGATATGCCGGGGAAATCCTCGGGGAAGCCACCAAACGTGCTAGCCAACTAGAACCTGGAGGGGTGCAAAACAAAAGCGTGAGTGGGCAAAAACAAAGCTTTTCGAAAACCATTAATAAATAAGTTTTAACCCCTCGCCGTAAAACCTGTATACTTCCCAGAAAATAGAATATATATATATATATATCATGCTCAGGAATATGCTATGCCAAAACCTCGAAGAAAAATGCAAGTGCTCAGGTAATATCACATCAATATCATATAATATGTCAGCCGGAGTCACCTAACGTGACCTGTACGGCTGAATCTAGAGCTCAAATCTCCATTTCACTAGCTAGACCTGCACACGAGTCGGAACCACCTAAAGTGGTCTGTACGACAAGCCTGGGTGTAATATATATATATATATATATATATATATATATACGCTTAAGTGCTACGATCACGTGAAGGCTGGGCGAATAATCGCGAGTCACCTACGAGTCGGAACCACCTAAAGTGGTCTGTACAACAGGACTGTGCACCTAACTTGGATCCAAGATGAGCGTGTGGTGCGGGAGGTGAACATCACGTGAAGGACTATGCCCAACTCTGGGCGGGAGCACTAACACCGGGGATGCAGGTTATGAGCTCTCTAAACATCTCAAATCACTACTGAACGTAAACATAAATCATACTCACCTGGCACTTACCTGTGCGTCCACAGCACTCACATACATATATATATATATATATATATGCAACTAACAATGTATAAACAAACGGCAATATAATGCATGGCATATAAACGAATAAACGTTTCAAATCAATTTCTGGGAAAAGTATAAGTATATAGGTATATACGGAAAACCAAAAGCCCACTCACTGGTAAGTAGAAGGGTTGTAACCCCCTTGCCTCGAGTGACCACGCTCGTCCTCGGGATAGGTCTCACCTATATGCGAAACAACTATAAAAACGTTAATTTTAAAGCACATAACCAACCTTAAGAAATAATTTCTCATACAATGCTCAAATGGGGTGTATGAATACACCAACGTGATCTACTCAACCTCAGGAACATGCCCATATTTTTAGAAAAAAATTTCACCGCCGCACGTGCCCCCACGCGCCGGCCACGCGCAGGCACGTGCCTGGCACGCTGACGGCGTCAGTTAACGCCGTCAGGAATATTCCATTAACTTTAACAGATTCCGTCAACGACGTTAGGAATATTCCGTCCAAACTGATGGAATATTCTGTCGTCTTCTCCGGCGAGGCTCCGGCGCCGGAAAATTGAGAAATCTTTAAATTGTCCTATCTTCTTCGTTTTTCAACCAAATTGGTACCAAATTGAAGCTTACAACGAGAGGAACAAAATCATACCACTTTCAAGTGCTAAAATCCACGAAATCTCACCGGGAAAATACCCCCAACTCCGGCCAACCTCGAAACTCGCGATCCCCACGTCCAAAACCTTCAAACGAACCACCCCGAGCCTCCTAGGGACCTCACCAAGCTTCCTACAAGCTTGAAATTCCCAAAAACATAAGAATTTACGTGTGCATGAACAATGCCAAAAATCGGGTATCCCGAGTTCGACGTGAAAACGAAGGTAACCTTACCTGAAATGGGTATGGTTGAACTCCTACGAACCTCACGAGCATGGATATGTACTTTGTTTCTTCGATCTGTGAAGATTGCAAGGGTTTTGGAGTGTGTCCGTACAAATGGAGGAAAAATGGGAAGGGAAATGGCACGAGACAGGTGCAGGGATAGGGGAAAGGGTGAGGGAAAATATGGGAGAGTGTGTGTGTAGTCCACAACCAGCCACACCAAGTTCAAAACAACCATACAACGTAAAAATCACACTAGGGGCAAAATCATCTTTTCACACGTACGTTTTAAAATTTTCGGAACGGGCTGCCACAGTTCATGTGCTTCGGCATCATTTAACACCTCGACATTATGACACAATGTCACGTCATGCTCGACCACCAGACGTTGATTTCTAGTTGTAAGGATAATTCTACTGCCCGTGCCAAACCAATCTTTCTTTCCAGCTAGTACTTGTAGCTAGTTTACTTGATCCACATCATCAAGTACAAGAAGAACCTTTTTGTTGTATAAGCATTTCTTCGTGTAATTGATTCCCCATTGTTGGTCTCTAACGTTTCCAATATTTTCTTTCAAGATTGGGCAAAGAAGTTGTTTTTGAAGACGAACTAGAGTAGGCTCTGTTACAAAAGACCCCCCTTTGATTTCCTACGTCCCAGGGATCCACGTCATAAAAAATTTGCATGACATCCATGCATTGAACAATTTTTGTGAGTTCGTCCAAGCACCATTTGGAAGAAGCATAGTTTGGTGAGAGAACAACAATTGCTATATGCGATGCACTGATTGCACTTTGGAGCTCTGGAGAAATACTTGTTCCTCTTTCAAGCTCTTGATCGTCAAAGAAAGTTGTAATTCCTTGGCGCTTGGACAATTCATCGTATACATGGGATACAAAACCCTTGCGGGTGTCTACACCCCGGAAACTCAAAAACACATCATACTTCCATCGAGGAGCTGATTCATTTGAAAGAAAACATGCAGAGGCTCTTTGGGTGCTCAAACTCAATGCCATCAGAACAAACAGTTGTTGTAAATCGGGTACTGCAAACAGTAACTGAATGAACAAGTAAAACAATAGAAGATCAACGAGAAGCACAGTTTCACTCTACTCTTGATTTGTTCTTCTTTGAGAGCAGACCTTCCAACCCAACAACCATTTGCAGATATAAAGGTCCCCTATTATACCAACACCTATATTATCCAAATGTAAACCAATTCTTACAAATTAAGTGAGTAAAATTATTGACAAACAGAATTTAATTAGTTATATATGTATGTGTGTGAATAAAACCCCAAAATAGACTATAAACAAAGCAAGGTCCAACTACAGGCATGCCAATTTAATTAGTTAAACCCCAAAGATTAGAAAACGTAGTCAACAAAAAAAATCAGGCATATGCGCTTTCCTTGTGATAACTATGGATGTAAGTATATAAATCTAGCTTTCATAGAACCTCTATCTTTTGAACAATGAGCAATTGAACAGTGCCAATCTTTTGATAATTATAAACTTATGTATACAGATCTTTTTATAACAATGGGCAGTTCAAATAACGTCCAGATTCTTTTTCAATAAAACTATTTAGACACACAATATCAAGATATTTGATGACATATTAGATGTGAGCTTTACAATTGCGTATTGAACTAATCTGCATCATAGAGTTTGTCAATAAATGTGTTAGTTTTGTGTGTCTAAATTTATAGCTTCACTATTTCGATTAATAAATTGTCTGCAAAGTGAGTCTGATAAAATGATATATTATACATGTCACCTACTTAAGTAGCTATATTAAACATTGAGTAAAGAAAAATGTTCAAGCAACCTATTATCTGTAAAAGACTATCCTCTAAATAGCCACAATTGGCAGCACTGATAAGGCAATTCGTACCCCCATGAAAAGAAATGCAGAACGCATAGAACCCATTGAACTAAAAGTATCTTGTTCCCCTTTTCCTGCATTTCAGAAATTTTTATGCCTTGAAGCTCAGAAATACAAAGCACCCACAGCCAAAAAACAGTTCAAAAGCCAGGAATCGATAACCATTAAGGAAAAATGATAAAGAAGGCAATTGGGAATAAAAAGTTGTTTCATTTGTAACTGATCAGACCTTATACATTTAGTGTATTAGTACTATATAACTGAAAACACAATCAAAATTCATCAACGTTAAACTTAAACGATCATAACCTCAAACAACCAAAGTCTAGGGAACGAAATCTGATACTCATAGTACACATCTCTATGCGTAAAACATTTAAAAAAATCAAATGCCAGTTATTAGAATGGAAAGTTGAAGTACCTGGGCAAGTTTATCTTTTTATCCGAAGATCATTTCCACTTGCTCTAAATAAAAAGGACAACAACAATTGTCATCTCCACTTTCCCTGCATTCAAAATATCACCACCAGTGCACTTATATAAGGGAAACAAACATGTGCATCCAATCACCAAAGTTTACATAAATTTCTCACAAACCCATGACACTGAGTGACACAATAGGATGTTCGAAATCAAAGCAGTTAAGAGTCAGTGTACGCATAAACAATTGAATGTTACAGATGGAATGCAAAATCACGTGGAATGAAATCATCAAATCCCAAAAGAAAATGCTTCAACGAATTCTTGCGGAATCAAAATCCAACAACCATTTGATTATTAGTTCAACGCAAATCATTATGAAAACAATATACAATACAAACACATATCCATCCGACTTTTTCTTAATTTTTTGAATTTCTGGCCTATGTTTCCTTCTTGATTATATTTCTCTATCAATAGAAAAATGAAAAAAAAACAAACAGTTAGGGGTTCAGAAATTTAACATATATTACTATAATTCAAAAGGGCTCATATACTTGAGAGAGAATGATGGGACCACCCGGGGATTCAAACAATTTTTCACTTTTAATCAGTCCCACAGTCTTTTCTGTGAACCCTTGCATTGCTAGATCTCTGCATTTCCAGAAGTTACATTATGAAATTTTACTGAATAGTAAATAGTTAATACCTCTCAGAAAGCTCCATAAATTCTCATTAAAACAAATTATGCACGATTAGGTAAAAAAAAAAAGAGTAAAGAAAATTAACCTTGGAAGGCTCATTGCTTGTTCCAAAGCTGATTCCTGGAACATATTTCAACCATCAGAAAACAACCCTCCAAACCACACAATCAAAAAAATGACATACTTTTTTTCCCCCCTAAGATTAGGAGAGAAAAAGGCTGATGGTGGAAAATCCTAAAAAATTAGAAAAATAAAAAGCCAAAATTATAAATCTGGAAAGAGTACCCAAAGATTAGATTTTCTGGGATTAAGATTTTCCTCGAATGTACACCAGATTCGCTGTTTTTCGGTGAGAGGACGTTCTCGTTAGTAGTTTCTCAAGAGTTCTGAGGAAAAATAGAGATGAAAAAAATACCCACGAGAAGGAGCGGAGGAGAGGCTGTCGAACGGAGGAGGAGGGAGGAGCCTGCATGGGGAGATGCTGTCGAACGGATGAGGATGTTTCGTGGTTCTGAGAGAGAACTTGAGAGATTCGTTCTGGAAGCAAAATGAACCTCCTTCCTTTTGCAACGATGACCAACACGTGTAACAGCGAAAAGGCTGAGAAAGGACTTTGACAATTACCAAACAAAATACAGCATCAACACAAACTTACACAGGTACAGAGAAGTGACAAATGACAAGGCAAGAAGTAGGGAAATCACACTCAAAATTCTCACAGCGAAGTTATAGGATATAGGAAATTCAGAGGTGTAGGATAGGAAATAAATGGGAGATAGGAAATTCAGAGAGGTAGTGTAGGAAATAAATGGGAGATATTGGTATGGAGGTGGTGGGGATCAACAATTTAATATCGGTGACAGTATCAGGTGAATTATTTCTTTAACGAAGAGAAGTTAGTATGATTACTTACTTAAATAGGAGTAAGAAAACTAAAATTTTAAGATAATTTAAGGTGAACTATTTAACAGTTAAAATATTTGAAATATTTTTTACTCTTGGTTAAAATTCTAAACAATTGATCGTCTTAGCCGATGCTTATGGGTTTAGTGGCTCATTCCGACTGGGCCGTTTACTTTGACTGAAGTCAATTGATTGGCTATTAATAGCTCCATGTGAAAGCCACGTGATGACTATGTTAAAGGCAGCACGGAGCCAATTTTATAAGACATTTGATGCTATTCTTTTGGTTCGCATCACCAAAGAGAAAAAGAAATGCAAGCTATGACTTTCGGTTCCTTAAAACAAAGGCCGGCCACACACTAAAAAAAAAAATAAATAAATAAACTTTAATGAAAGTTCATGGTATTATTCACTTTAACGAAAAATCACATTTTTATACTCAAAAGTCAATCCGGTAATATTCATTTTATCATTTATTTTGTCCTTATCGTTAAAACTCAAAATTTTTAAACCATTTTCATTAGTTTTCTTATAAAAAAAAGGACAGCATTTTTAAGGCGTTGGATGCTTTTCTTTTGGTTCCCATTAGCAAAGAGAAAAATAAAAGGTTTTGGGCAATTACACATTCAAGATATTGGTGCTACATTTTTTGGCTTTTGGGAGATTATGTATTTTCATCTTCTCCATTTATATTTTGCTTGAGTGAGAAATATTGGATGTATCTAGGATTTGGGGTTTGAGAGTTAAAATTCCATTTATGATCTCCATTGGTTATTAGTAAAATTTCTTTACCGTCTTTGCACTAGATGTAGACTTATGTCAAATCAATATAAATCTTTTGTCATCTTGAATTGTTTGTTTTGTCAAATGTTTCTGAATTAATTTACTAGTTTCACATTTGACGCTTTCAAACAACACTTGATACTAAAAGAATGAGCTAAACCATTTCATCAAATTAAAGTCCAAGTTTACTGCACAAAACTTGTACTAGATCAAGTAACCTCACAATTAGTAGGATTTCAGTGCAGTTTGTGGAAGAGAAAGTAGGAGCTTCTTGTTGCAGAATTTGTAGTCTGAAATTGTGTTTGATGTCTTATAGTAATGAAATGCTGAGTGTCCTTGTCTGTTTTATCATGATTGACATGGTCTCAAGCATTTTATTATAAGCTGATGGACTTAATAATTCAAATGATGTTCGAAAGATTGAATTAAGTTTCGTGTTTCATCCAAATACTCCTTTCGAATTTTGTTATTTGTACAACAATAGATGACTGCGGATCAAGACAACAGTGTTTTTCCATTAGTTAAAAATAAATTCAACTCCCCGGTGTCTTCAGAAAATGAACCTCGTGGTTCATTCTTGTACCAGAAAGAAACATGGAGGCCGACCCCACGGCGCTCGGATAGTATTTGTCCTGCTTCAACTCCAGCTTTGCCAATTCTTCCCAAGTTTATGATGCAACTGACTTTACAGGGCACTGAAACGAAAAACTATTGCAATGAGAAATTAAGCAGATTTTTCTTCGTTCTTTATAACTCGTGAGATTAGATCCATTGACTAAGATGGTGAAGCAGAAAATATCTTTTAAGACTATAAAGCTGATGGGATAAATTGAGGGGAACTTGCCTGCATTTATTATAAGATGGTGACTAGTAACAATGTCTTTTGTGGATTTGTTCTGTGTCGTTGAAGCTAGCACTTACAGGTCGACTTGAAGCTTCCTCGTCACTATATTCATGTGTTCGTTTCAGGATTGTCAATGTTTGGTTTAGTTCTTCCAAATCTTGCTTGTACACCAAACGAGCCCCACACTTCTTCACACAATTGAAGTCTGCATATTGTATTTCTGGCACTCTCACATCTGAAATGTAAGTTCTGAATAAAAATTGTTCCTCATGACAATATTTACGAGGCAAATAAAATACCCAAAGATGTTCCGACAGAAGTGACCCTGTGTTATGACGCAAATTGTTATTTAAAAGCTCAATGACATGACCAATATAAGCAGGTCGATTGGCCAAGTTTTGGTTAGGATCTTGAAAAACAAGACAAAAGGCAATCCCCAGCCAGTCGGTACATGATGGTGGTGGAAGCTTCACATTTACTGAATTTCCCACACTCTGATTACTGAACCACTTTGGAATTTCACTTCCAGGCAATACAAGGTACTTATCGGCGGGATCTGGAGACGATACCTGTAAGAAAAGAACTATTTTAGAGAGAGAGAGAGAGAGAGAGAGTACCTCATAGTGAGCGACAAATCTTGGAATCCTTGAGAGTATTGTATTAATCCAGCCTTCATCTTGAACCAATGCAATGCAATTCGTGCAAGTGAAGTCAAAGTCATACAAATTGGTGAATCTGCTGCTCAACTTGGATGCATCTGTCAACCTTTTTAAGGATGTACATTCCCCTAGAGATACATATAATTCGCTATTTGATGGAAGAGGTGGCAATTCTTGAAGGCTTTTGCACCCCTCCAAACCAAGATACTGGAGCTTAGAAAGGCGTCTAATGCTTTCAGGTAGATTGACGAAATTATTTCCGCCGAGACACAACTCTTCCAAAAAGGACAAGCAGCCAATATCATCTGGGATATCTCCTTCACAGAGTTCACAATCTTCTAGATATAACTGTCTCATAGAGCAAAAACGATTTAGAGAAGACAGCACCAAACCCCAACAAGGAGGATCAGGACGACTCTTTCCAAGTCCTAATAAGCGGAGAAGGCCCCACCCTTCCCTTGGTTTAGCATCTAGTTCACATTTAAAAAATAGATCTTCAAGATTTTTCATACCCACAAGTGGCTCTGTCATTGTGTCTCCACATTTAAGAAACTTTAAGTGATCCATGTCTCCTGGGAATTTGTCAAGTTTTGAGCATCCCATCACACTGAGATATGTAAGAGACATTAAATTACAAATAGCCCTTGGAAGGTTCAAGAGATTTTTGCACTGACTTAGACTCAAACTATTAAGGCCAACCAGATGTCCAATTGATAAAGGTATTTTCTCGATCGCAGTCCCATCCAAGTAAATCGTGGACACATTCTTCATCTGCTCCCCAAATTCTGGTATCTTTTTCACATTTGAGCAGCCACTAAGCAATAAAGATTTAAGAGAATCCATTTCAAACTCACTTGGGAGGCTCTTAATGCTTTCACATCCTCTAAGGTTCAGAATTTTAAGTCTTTTGAGGAATGCAACAGACGAGTGAATTTCAACTACATTCTTACAATCCCAAAGATCCAACATCTCAAGATTTGGAAAACCACTGAAATCTGGGGTATTAATCAATTTCTTGGAGGAGGCAAGATTGAGATAATTCAACTTGGGCAAGTCCTATTCAACACCATAAGGTTCATATCATATATTTGGCTTCTACAATCTTAAAATTTCTTCAAAACAATAAATAAATAAAAAGTAAATGATTATTTTGTAAATTAAACCGCATTTATTCAAGGATGGATAATAATTAGGTACTCATTAGCGAGTACATCGACTATGTTATTTTTTTTGGTCCAATAAAAAAATGTCACATGTTCTTGTTTTTAACATGTCCATTATTTTTTTAAACAATAAAATATGTGTTAAAGTATCATTGGACAAAATTAGAAAATGAGTATTGACTAGGGATTTATTTAATATTACTCTTACCATTTTTTCCTCCGAAAGCCGAACAAGATTGCTATTAGGCATGTTAAGTTCAGTAAGCAAGTACGGGCGAAAGCTGGTTGGAAGAAACTTGGAAGGATACCAACTCCAATTTATAATTCTCAAGGAACATGGAAGAAATTTCGGGCCTGAAGAAAATATCAAATTATTGAATTCCAAAAACCTCAGTCCATGCATCTTAGAGAAGGCTTCGCAATTCCATTGGGGCACCTCTTCTACTTTGGACGGGCGTAAGGATATAACTTCAATTGCTCTCGAACCCTAACAATTAAGAAAAAAGGATAAATTAATTTGACAATCAAGTCTACTAGTGTAAAAAGAAATTGTATCTTCTTTCAAACTTGGAATTTAACTTCTTACCGTATTGGTCGTGAGTATATAAAAAATGTCATCAGAAAGCCACAACCTGCTGCGTAGGCCAGGCTCTTCGGACTCTTCATGAACAATTGTCCACGCCATTTCTTGCACCAAATCATGCATCCCTATCATGTTTCTGATATTGTACACGAGAAATCTCTCAATTAGTACATCTATCATACTACTACTAGAAATTCCAAAAGAATTGTCTAGCATCCGCAATACTTCCGTCGTGGGCTTCCCTTTGTGGAGACACGCAACATCGAGAAAAATTCTCTTCTCCATCTTTTCTAGTCCATCATAACTAACCTTGAGTGAATCAAAAACTGTTGGAATAGGAATTTTCCTTAGATTATCTCGTACACTATTCCATGCACCTTGACCTCTCGCATACAAAGAAGACCCCAAGGTTTTAAGAACTAATGGAAGGCCTCCAGCATGATTAATGAAATACTTAGACAGTTCCAAAAAATCTTCCTCAGGTTGGTCTTTTCTAAAGGCGTGCAGGCTAAACAGCTCAAGTGCTTCGGCATCTTTTAACACCTCGACATTATGACACAATGTTATGTCATGCTCGACCAGTAGACGTTGATTTCTAGTTGTAATGATAATTCTACTTCCCATGCCAAACCAATCTTTCTTTCCAGCTAGTACTTGTAGCTGGTTTACTTGATCCACATCATCAAGTACAAGAAGAACCTTTTTGTTGCATAAGCATTTCTTCGTGTAATGGATTCCCCATTGTTGGTCTCTAACGTTTTCAATATTTTCTTTCAATATTGGGCAGAGAAGTTGTTTTTGAAGACGAACTAGAGTAGGCTCTGTTACAGAAACCTCTCTAACGTTTTCAAGAAAGCAGTGAACTTCAAAATGATGGACGATTTTATCATAAACTAGCTTAGCAAGAGTAGTCTTGCCTACGCCACCCATCCCAGTTATCCCA